ATCCCGTCCGATTTGTGAAGTTAAGCAGCTACAGGCTTAGTTAGTACTGAGGTCAGTGATGACTTGGGAACCCTAAGTGTCGTTCGCCCCAACATTTTCGCGCCAAGTGATTTTCCTCAGTGGGATGTCTTAGGGGCGCATCGAGGCGGACTCCTCATGCCCCATCGGTGCCCCAGGAGGGCGGCTGTTCCCCCAGTGGACTAGTGAACCCCTTTTTTTTGTCCCCTTTCCGAGGGTGTTGAATGCTTCCTCCCCCCGCGCAGTGCCTGCCTCGTTGCAACAGTTGTCGTGCATATCGGACAGTACACCCTCTTTTGTTTGGTTTTGTGTGTGTCCCACGATCTCGGAGGGGTTCCGTGCGGGCCTTTGTGAGGCTACAGAATCTAAAGGGTTTCCCTCAACCGACTCTTGATAAGGCTCAGCACCCGGCTGTTCTCCGGGCGGATATCGGAGTCATACGAGTGTTTTTCTTTTTTCTTCGGATATCTGCCCAGAGCACGGTCGGGCGCTGAGCCTATTGTCATATAAGAAAAAGGAGGGGACGTACTCTGTTGTCATTGCTTTCGTTTAATTTGTATTTGTTTCGATACTTGGTGGTAAGTTTTTTTCCCCTTTAATAGTGGTGCATAGGGACTCAAAAAAAAAAAAAAAGGTTCTAAAATGGTGCGGCGTTTCCGAGGGGTGCCCTCCCGGCTGCCCGCAGGTCGAGCTCCGCCCGCCGCTGCTCTTCCTCTTCAACTTCCTCCCCGCCGCCCCCACGGAAGTCCAGCCGAAGTAGCCGCACTGCTTCAACTTCCTCTTGACCCAACGGCAAGCGGTGCGACTGCTCCGGCTGGACCTCCTTTGGGTCGGGAAGAAGTTGAAGTGGTGCCGCTGCTCCTGCTGGACCTCCGTGGCGGCAGCGGGTGAGTGGTGCGGCGTGCCTTGCTACCGCACGTCGTCCTCCTCGATACAGGAGGAGTTTTCCCCGCAGATGGGCTGCTGCGGGCCGCGTTGAGGGAATAAATCCCACAACCAATGGTCAGGGAACCCCCGAACCGTGACTGTGGAGCCAACTCCTTTTCCTCTTCACTGATCTGTGAGGGGAAATGGCGCTCCTCCTCCCTTGGCCTCTTGCGTTCGCCTTGGGTCACACTGATCAACTTGACTTTTCCGACCGGTCCCCCCAATTCAGCCAGCTGCCTTTCGAGGGACCGGCGGTCCTGCTCCGGCTCCTCCTCACTGATCAGGTGCAGCAGCTGAGCGCGGTACCAACATGCCCTGTGAGACCTCTTCCATGGCCCACTAGTTCTTTTCTTCTGTCCTTCCCGTTTCTGCTTAAATGCTCCTTATGTGATGATGGGGAGGGAGGCGGGGGGTGAAAGTAAGCGGGGAAAACCTCGTGGGAGAAGTTTCGCTCCAACGAGTCTGTCCAAAAAACAACAAGGATTATATTCTACGGTACTTACATGTGGACGCGCGGGGGCGCACGAACGGAAAGGACAAATATATATAGAGAGAAATTTCACGCGAGGCAGTATCGTTTACTGGAATTCGCCAGGGAGCGTGCGCTTCAGCGAGTCGTCCACGCCGAAGAGGTTGATCATGGAGAACTTGGTGGTGAGGTCTAGCGGCTTGCTGGCGGAGAGCTGCGGCACCTGCTCGAACCGCTTCTTCTTGAGCATGTCGCGCGTCTTGATGACCGTGTCGCGGTACGACAGACCCTTGCTGTTCAGCAGCGTGTACGTGAGACACTGGGTGGCAGCGCCGCCGGCGCCGGAGGTACCGTTTCCGAGCGTGGCCGTGTTGCCCACATCCGCGGAGGTCTGGGTGTCCATGCAACCCGAGATCATCAGGATATCGCCCTTGCTGTAGTTCTCCTGGCGAACCTGCTTCATGTGCGCGTCGGTGGAGGAGGTCAAACCCTCGCCGCCGACAAACTGGTACGGCAGATCCATCATGCTGCCGCTGTGGCAGCAGTCGAACAGCACGGTGAGGCGCACGCCCTTGGGGAGCTGGCTGGCGAGGATGTCAAAGATGTCGTTGTCGACGATGCACCCCGCAGAGGAGTAGTCGGAGGGGCAGATCACCTGATCATACTCCTCGTACTTGTCCTTTCCGTTCGACTTGGTCTGCGAGCCGTGACCGCTGTAGTGCATGAAGAGCACGTCGCCCTCCTTGGTGTCCTTGACCAGCCACGCCATGTACTTGATAATGTTGGCGCGAGTGGGGAGGGCGGTGACGTTGGGGAAGTCCTTCTCGTCCACCAGGATGGCCATCTTCTCGACGGGGAAGCCAGTCTTCTGGAAGGAGGCGAGCTCCTGCTTGACATCATTGACACACCCGGACAGCTGCGCGCTGGTGCCGTAGTAGTTGATTCCAATGAGAAGGGCGCGGACGTCACCGTTGGCGTACTTATCCTGCTCGGACACCTCGTACGGCTTGAAGGACTCCGCGGTCCCCGCATCCTGGAAGGCTTGGTTGACGTCGACGGCGTCGGGTCGGGCGACCTCCCCAATGTACTGCACAATGTACGGTTTCGCCATCTCGAACGCCTTCTTGCCGAGGGCAACCCAGTCCACCTCACCAGCCGCCGCGCGAACACCGCCGCCGCCGCCGAGGTTCTTGAAGCAACCACAGTCGAAGCCCATTTTTATTGTATTCTTTTTCTTTCTTTCTATGTTTTGGTGTGCAAAGAATGATAATAATAGAGAAATGATCGGTTGTTTTCAGGGAGATTATATTATTTTATTTCAGGAGTTTTTTTTTTTTTTTTTAAACTACACGAAAACGAAATAAGGGAAACAACGATAAGTCATCTTTTGAATTATAATAATAATATCCGACCTCCACGCCGATCAGTGTTGATGGTCGCACGACCCACAGCACGGACAGAAGTTGAGGCGGGCCATCTCCTTTTGCGTCGACGGGTCCCACGCCTCTTCCTCCCCGTCGTTGAGCTGCTTCAGAGGCACCGTGACCGAGGTGGCCTGCGCGAGGGGAAGGGCATCCATGGCGGGCAGGTGGTCCCCGTGGAAGACAAACACGCGATTGTCGTTGGGGGAGAGGGATTCGGAAATCTTTTGGATCGTTTCGGTTTCTGTCTTTCCCAGCACAAACACGGGGGGACTCTCGGGGGAGTGGCAGTTGACCAGGGACAGATACTCCCCGATAAAGTCATACATTTCCAGCACCGCCTTGGCAAAGTGCGCCAACTCGCTGTTGGCGTGAACGCAGTGCTCGAGCTCTTGCACGGAGGGTACCACCGCATAGGGGAGCAGCACCACCACCGCCGCACACGAGAAGAAGACGCTGTCCACCTGAATAGAGGCGAAGGACGCCAACCACGCGAGGTCTCTGGCCAGCTTGTCGTGTATTTCGCTAGCCGGCACCTGCCGAAGGTCGAACACGGCCACTCCAGCGGCGCTTGCGTTGGGGTTCACCTTACTCACAAAGCTCTTCTTGTCCTCGTAGGAGAGGTAGTGCGTCGCGACGAGGATTTTGTTGTTTCCGGCGAGCGAGGTAGGGAGCTTAAAGTCCTGAAAACTCTCGCCAACGGACGAGACGTTCTTTTGTTTGATGGCCGCCAGGCACTTGTCTACGCCCTCAAAGTTTTCCGGTAAAAGCGGAATCTTGTCGTCAATGATGTCGTACACATTCCAAATTTCTTTCCAAACCAACAACAGCTCTTCCGAAACCGACATCCCCGATTCCTCCCCGTCCCTGTACTTTTCTTGCGCCGCCAGCACTTTTTCCGACTGCACCCCAACAGCGAAGTGGGAGAAAACGTACGGCCGGTACACCTTTTCCTTGTTGAGGGATCCAACTAGATACTCCCCCTTGTGCGCGGCACTGTTGCTGTGACGGAACCCCCGGGCGTGCATGACGACCGCCTGCGAGTTTTCCGGACACGCTCCTTTTCCCCTAATGCGAAGAAACATTGAAACACTATTTTTTGCTTACTCTTAGAGTAGAAAGAGGGGAGAAACGGAGAGAAATACAAATTAGTTTTTTTTTTTTTTTTTGTTCCGTAGTCTCTCCGTCATTTTTTTTTTCATAAAGTGAGCATTTTGCCAAAAAGATTATTATTTTTATTTCATGTTCTAATTACTATGTTATGCGTCCACGGCTTTTTATTAGGATTCAAGATCACGAACATACAGGGTATAAATAATCCTTTTTCTTCTTTTGTTTTACAATTTTT